TAGCAAAGTCCTTATTACTGTTCAGTTACCTAAGATAGTAAAGACTATCACTCTTTAAATAAGGAAAATAACTGGGCATCTGTTTGACAGAAATGAGTACTTCAAGTATGTAAGTAAATTATTAACAGAGCTATTACACTCTGGGCAACAGCAGTGAAAAGGAAAAGAGCTAGAAGGTACATTTCATATAAAGATTACATTTTACAACATAATAAAAAGTGCACTGATTTATACAGTTTGTGAGAACCATCTTCTAATGGTTCTGGGTAATGCTGCCTGTGAGGGACTATGCTGGTATCAGCACTGTCTCACACGGGAGATTCAAAGGTAAAATTCCTATCCCTAAAGCCATGAAATATACAAAGCTTTGTTATCTGTTTGGTATTAAATATTTTGTCTGCCAAAAGTCCCACAGATTCAAATACACCTTGGCAAGTCTGAGTAACCAGCACTATAATTCTTTTGGTATAAAAAGGTAAGAAAAATTGTAATATTAAAATTAATAACACCAGTACAAGGAGAAGCCTGTTGTATAAATAGATATTAAAACATAAGAGCGAGACTTTTATCTCGATCAAGAGGAAGAAAAATTCAATATAATTTACTTGAAGGTTTGAAAATAATTTTCATATTTCCCAGATCTAGATAAATATATTACTCCAATTTATTAGTCATCTTCAATATACAATATATAACTCACAAACCTGGGAATGTTACAATACCCAAAACTTTCATAGCACTAGTTACCAGTTACCAGAACTATGAGATATCTTTAGCTACATGTGAGCTTAGTTCAGAGTGTGAAATAGATCTCACTGAGCTGTGTGGAATAGTGCAATCAAGTATAAGGGTCACAAAACAGTCTTTCTTTGTTAGCTTGTATATTTAAGTCATGATCCTACTCTAATAGCATCAATCGAGTGTGAAATGCTTGGTTAATTTACTCTTGAAATGCAGATAACAGAATGAAATACTCAGACTATTTACAAAGTCATGTACAATGAGTAACTTGTAGCTAAAATAAAATAGTTTACATGGGTTTTACAATTACTTTTAAGTTGTGGCTTGTTTTTTATTTCCAACTAAAACTTGGAAGTACATAAAAATTAAGAGTATATTCAAATAATGTAAATAGAATATCTTAAGTTACATAAAAAGAATTAAGTTGTTCATCTATAGTATTGATATGGAGTTTATCTTAAACACTGTTACTGAGTTAATGCAGTCTCGGTTACTGTTAAACTTCTTTACCTGAAAATAACAGAATTATACAAATAGGTAGGTACAGTCCAGCTGTCTTTACTTTCTCTGTTTTCTATAATGATAAACCTTTATAGCTTTTTCTTCTAACATAAATGTCTCTAACAAAACTTGAAAAAACATAATAAAAATAATGCTTTTCTTAAGAATCAATAATCACCAACTTTTAAAGGTCTGGTTGCTTCTTTATAAGGGCTCCTATTGCAATGTGAAACAGAGATTGTGATACCAAAGTCAATTGAGCGATGTCTCAGCAGAGACAGACAAGAAAGACCCAGGCCTTATTATGCTTGGGGTGAGACAGTTAGAGACCTGGCAGTTAAGCAATGGGAGCCACCAGCAAAGGTCATTCCACTAGTTAAAGTTGAAAGAGGTATTGTTTTCACAGCTAAATTCAAATTGACATCCTGAAAGAACTCATATCCTTAGAAGATGAAAGTTCACTAGTCAGAGAGAGTAAATGATTTATTCTAGAAATGATATATAGAGGAAACACCTATAATTTTTCAAGCCATAGCTTATATGGCTATTAACTGTTTCAGTTTGTGTCAAGAATAACCCATAAAGTCCAAAATAATGTGATTTTATACATCAAATTTAGCTAGGAAGTTATCTTAAGGCAATTTATATCAAAATGTAAAACTAATTAAGTGAAGGATTCCTGACAACAAATCTTCGGGAAAAAAAAATCTCATTACAGAATTAAATAATTTGAATTTGGGGAACAAGAACATATTGTTTGTCTGGAACTATTTTTAAGAAATTATAAACCATGTGAAAATCAAGATAAGTTGACATAGGAAAAACAGATCCAAGCCTAGCAAAATATGCCTTTTAGAGTTTAATGACCTCCTTTCTGCTCCTGTGCGCCCTCAAGCTTGAACTGTGCCAACAGGCAATCGACCGACAAGAGAAAATGAAAACGTATAAGTTGAAGGAGGCTGACTAATCTATTTATCTCAGTACATGAGAATAAGTCATGAACAAGTGCACATACCACATGAGCAACAAAGTGAGCAAATGTGGACTGCCAGTGGCTTAAAGTCCTCTTGGAACCAAAGATAGGCCAGCTGTGGAGATAGGTCAATCATGTACGCCCTTGCCTTAGCTACCAAAATAAAATCACTGGGGAAGTTGGGTCGATTTAGAAACAAATTAAGAATGAAGATTGAGAAGAAAATTCTGTAAGTGTGGTTACTGTATTTCAACTCATACCGGAATTAGCCAGAGAATGAAGAGGAACAGTGTACTGAGGAACAAACTAAGGGCCCTTGAAGACACCAGGCCTCTGATTCCTAACTACAATGTGCCCAAAAGGCAGGAAGATGTGAAAGGGTTATTTTGTGGTGGGGCAACTGATAGGAAAGGAAGAGCGGAAGGCAGTGAGACTCTCAACAGCCATCATTCATGTGAGGGAAACAGAAAAACCAGGAAGCAGGAAAGAAACTCAGAAAGGGAGGTAGACAATCAAGAGAAATATGAAGTCATCTGCAGTTTTATTTAAGCCTGACTCCATCCCTTTCTTTCTTGAAAAGAGAATTGAACATGAAGGAGAGTTGGGCTGTGATTCCCCAGCTACATCTCCAATTGTCCGGGTGTGGAAAGGAGAGCCAGCTGTAGTGAGGTGCCTGGGTGAGCTTCTCTCTCCACTTCCCCATAGATCAAAGCAGAGTCTTCTGCACTCCCCAGACGGGCAATTCCTATTTCCTGTTTTCTGAACCCAGGTGTCTCTGTGACACCTGCAGAAGCTGAAGGAGTCTCTGAGAGCACCTGCTGGTAAGCAGGTGGCAGTGAAGTCACTGGAGTCCTGGGCAGGCACATGTAGACACAGCTTACAGAGAAAACTGCTCTCATCTAACAAAACAGCTCATCCAAATTGTCATCTGAAAGGACTTCTCATCCCAAAGCCATTTTGGTGAACTAAAGTTTCCATTAACTGAGGTTTTACAGAATATGTTGGCTAGAAGTGAAAAGATCATCAAACAGGAAAAGCCAATTGCTTACATGGTGCTTTTCTTTTCTGTTGAGAAGGTATATTTGGGGGGAGGTGAAAATCAGAAAGGATTTTTATATTAATACTCCTTTATACTGGAATTCCTCCACTCCTTGCCCATCCCCCACCCTCATCCCTCCTAAGAGCTGAACAATGATCTGGGCTCTCAGAAGAGTTCTTGGAGTCTAGCCCCAGAAAATCTGGTTTCACAGGAAAGGGTGGAGGGCAGGACATCCACTGGGTAGAGAGTACAAAGGGACTGCAAGGAAGACCTGCAACTTTACAGGTGTGGATGAAGTTAAAATTACTGCTAGCTTATTATCAGTGTAAACTACTTGATATAAATCTCTCTTTGGGAAATTTCCATTTGTCCACAACTTAGGGAAAATATAGTCAGACATACTTGGTCAAGAAGTCACTGGGTTTGTTTGTTGACTTATTTATTTTTTGCCATGCTGGGGTTAGACCCCAAGGCCTTTCATGTGTCAGACAAGGACTCTACCACTGAGCTGCAGCCCTGGCAAGCATTTATTTTTAAGGTGTCCAAATTTTGTGATTTTACTAGTAAATACCCATTATAAGTAAAAAATAAAATTGTCAAATAAATTATTTAGATTTAATAAAAAATTAAATGTCTGACAATAGTTCATTTAAAAATATAGGGCAAATGATTGTCTAGAAAATATCAAGGATACTATATCTCAAGATAATATGTAGGTAAGTGTGGCTATACATGTAAATGTGTATGGGCATGTATGTATGTGTGTGTGTGTGTGTGTGTGTGTGTTTATCTACTGAGCACCTACCAGACTACTTCATGAACATTATCTCCACAGGGTCAGCAACCTGCTTACCTCTCTTATATGCAGAACACTTCAAATATGACAAGTGATTTTTGGCATATAATGGCCAAAAAAGCTTATTTAAAGATATTTTGTGACTTTTTTGATATGTATACCTTTGGCTTTCAAGTATTTGATATTCTAATGAGCAACATTGACAAATAATGATTTAGAAAAGAGAAAATAATATATACCTGATAAGACACAGAATGTGTATGATAATAATAGAAAGCCCTTTAAAAAAAAGTAAATTTCTCTTGAGAGGTTCATGTCAAAAATCACTTTAGCTAGTCTAAGTAACCCATCAGTATACAAATCTCAACTGAGACCTTGGAGAGATATCAACAGTCCTACAAATTTGATCAGAAAATCAGATAGTTATTAAACTGAAGTGAAATCAATGGGAATAAAATGTGGGGTTTTAGTTTGGAAAGTTGCCCAAGTTTGGTTAGGTAACAGAATATGTAAGCTTATGAAAATATCCAACAGTTTTCTTAGTGTGCAAACCCATGATTTATGATAAAAAAACTGGCTTGCATAAGCTGTATATCATTGGTTGATTATGGCACAGATGCATTTTCACAGAGTCTTAGGTATAGAATATATAAGCAAAATTCCACATTTAAAGAACAGAAAATTGCAATGCCCTTAACCAATCAAAAGGTATCTAGTTTGGGTAGTTATAAATTAAACTCCATTACAATGGACATTAAAGTTGTTAAGTGTTACAATAATAGATATGACATGCAAGAAAAAGAATGACTGCTCAGGCTGGACTCATTGCATTCAGCTTTGCACTGTTCGTACAATTTGATGGGTTAGTTTCACCTTATTCTTTGACCAGTGGATACTGAGAACTGAGGGTGAAAATATTCAAAACACAACTTCTATCTTTATCTCCCAACCAGTGACTTCTAGAAGGAGCCAATGCCTCCACTAACGAAGCCTAAGAAGTTTCAGACACTTCCTGTTAACACGATTGCACAGTCAGAACTTCCTATCAGCCCAATCTAAGGAAAGCAAAGGATTAGCAATTCTGCCTTATAGACATGACCATCTCTCACAGTCCTCCTTTTACTCTTTCTACGGTGAGCATTTTTCAACATATCAGGTTTGTACAATAAGAAAATGGCTTTGTGGAATGTACTTTTTGGCACAAAATATATGTTCTAATACCGCAAATCAAAATCGTTGATCCACAGCAAAACATCAAGCCATAGAGGTGCTCTGTGGTGCTTACTATCTACGCAGAAAGTTACAAGAACAGCTAGCTGCTTCCAAGAGCTCTGTACTGAGTAGCAAAAACTCCTCCAAGGAATAGCACCAGAGCGATTACACCTCAGACTGAATGGGGAGGGTTCCTTTCCAGCTCCTTAATTCCCTGGAGAATTCGCTTCATATGGCCCACTTTCGGTATCCCCAGGTCCTAAAAAAGGAAAAAAAGAAAAAGGAAAAAGAGGTAGAAAGATAAAAGGAAGGAAGAAAAGACAACAAGTCTGTCAATAAGGAAAACTGGAAATGAAAATTTTAACCAGCAGTTAACATAATTAGCACTGAGTTCATCCATTTTATGGACAGTTTTTATTCAGTGACTCAGGAAGTGATAGCTAGAAATTAAGTTAATAAAATAAAAATAACCTTCCACTAAAAACCGTGCAACCAATTAAAAAAAATCACACCCAGTACAAACTCTTCTTATCGGAGATATTTTCATGAATTACATGCAGTGGGGAAATTGTCCAACAGTCAAAACTAATACAGTTTCTCTCTCTTAAAGATAGACTCTTTTGCGATCTCTAAGGCAAATGACATAGGACAATAGGGCTTTTAAGGGATATTGTTCAGCCTAATCTTGAACGTACTAGATTACGTGCCACCACACCCAGGTCTTGTGTTAAAATATTAAATTTAAAATTGAGGCCTGCCAAAGATGGTGGTACATGCCTGTAATCCCAGGATGTAGGAGGTAGAGGCAGGAGTTCAAGGTCATCCTAGGCAATAAGAAGTTTGAGACTAACCTGGCCTACATGATAATGATACCCTGCCTCAGAGTCAGGGAGAAGAGGCCTAATCCTAGAAGAAGATACCAGTGCCCACTATCCAAATTTAAAGCATAAACGTATTTGTAGTTGTATAAGGAGTTTGATTTGAGTGGAGTATCTAATATAATTATTCTCTTTTTTGCTTGATGTATGTGTGTGTGTGTGGGGTATGTGTATACGTGTGAGTGTGGGTATGCACAGTGGGAGTTGGTTCTGTCCTTCTACCTTGCTGAGGCAGGGTCTCTTTTGCTTCTGCTACTTTGCACTGTGCTCCTAGGTAGCTGAGCCCAGAGCTTCTGATTGTCCTGTCTCTGCCTCTTCTTTTGCCACAGGAGTGCTGGGAGTACAGACGCAGGCCACCATATTCAGTCCATTGAAGACAGCCATAATACCCACTATCTGAAAGGCTTCCAAACCCCATAGTTTCTTCAAGTGTAATGAATATAATCAGGTAACTAACAGACGAAACCAAACAACCTCTTCACAAAAGACTGAAATATTTGAAAAAGATGACTTACACAGTAACCTGAAAAACAGGATTATATCACAAGATCGCCTGTCAAAAAAAGGTAGATTCAAAAATACCCACTGTTTTATAATTTAGAGGTTTTTATTGTGGGCGGGAGTGGTAGTGGTGTCTGAGACAGGGTCTCACTGTGTAGCCGTGGCTGGCCTGGAACTCGCTGTGCAGAGCAGGGTGATCTCAAACTCACAGAGATCCACCTGCCTCTGAGTGCTGAGATTAAAGATGTATGCCCCCATACCCAGCCAAGAACATTATTTTTAAACTTATAAATGAACAGATCAAACTGATTGAAGTCACACACCTTCACACACACACACACGCACACACACCACACACTCCCCTCTCCCCGCCTTCTCTCTTTTCCTCCCTCCCTTCCTCTCCCTTACCCCCTCCATCTCCCTCTCCCGCACCCACTTTCTTGTGCTTTGTAAACTAACTCTGAGTTCTAGAACAGTAATGTTACCAATTACTCTAAATCCTTCTAGAAAACTATCTTTGCAAAGCCAGTGTTATTCAAGCTTGAGATAATTTCAGGGTAACATTTTTGTTAAACTTAACTGACCCAGGAAAAAAAGATGTTCTCATATGATACCAGGATAAACAAAATTAGTCCTAAGGTTATTATACATTTCCTTGGCATGTGATAAATGGTAAACTTGAAGGCAAGGCCAAATCTCTGCCTGTTGCAAAAATTTAGAATGTTAAATGCATTAGAAATTACACTTCAGCCTCTTTACTTAAGTAAAATATTAAGCATTCTTTAAACTTTGTACTAACATGGGTAATCTGCTTACAAAATATATTTAAATATTAACTATTTTATTTTAGGCCATACAAACGATGTCTTCTCCAGAATACAAGCTCCTTTAGTACTCTACTCAGAATTACTATTCTAGAATACTGAAAGGAGGGTTTTCTATAGAGAAACACAGTCACATTAACTTCTTAGCTGTAGTTCCCTTCAGATGGAGTACTTTTGCATCTTCCAGAGGTTAGGCTGACAGAGGTTTCCCGTGACATTATATCTTTCATTTTAGCATGTATCATATACCTTTATTATTGCACACTTACTTTTGTGTCTCTGTGTGTGTGTGCATGTGTGTGTGTGTGTCTGTGTGTGAGCAGGTGTGTAGTGGTCAAAGATTTACATTGGGTGTCTTCCTCAGTTGCTCTCCATTTTATTTTTTAAATACTTTATTATTTTATTTTATGTGTATGGGTGTGTTGCCTGTGTGCATGTAGGCACACCCGTGTTGTGTAATGCCCATGGAGGTCAGAAGGGGCCATCGGATCCCCTGGAGCTGGAGCTAAGGATGGTTGTTAGCAACCAGGTGGGTGCTGAGAATCGAACCTGGGTACTCTGCAAGAGCAGCCAGTGCACTTAACCACTGCGCCATCTCTACAGTTCTCCACTTTATTTCTTGAGACAGGGTATCTCACTGAATCTGAAGCTCACTGGTTTGGCTAGACTGGTTGGCCAGGCTCCACCTCAACCCTATATCCTTATTTTTTAATCATTTAAAATAACATTCCTTATTACTGGCTTTTTATTTTTGTGGCTGAATAAGCATGATTTTGCCAAAGACTCCTTGTAAACACTGAGTTCTACTTCTAGCAACCTATATACAACTTTCCAATAGGAAAAAATAAAACTTCCACCATGTCTTTATCCCTTCCTTTCTCCTACTGTGTTCTAGCAGGAAGATCATAGTCTGCCTGCTTCCTCCTGTGCTATAGCATGTTATAAATGTTTCCTCTTGGCGAACTTTGGACTGTTATGTTGTTATATCTAGTTGTTTAATGATCTCTAGTAATAAGAAATGAACACTTAAGCCAAGCTCTGGGCAGGAGTCAATCAGGTGAAAGATAGGGAGAGGACAGCAAAGGAGGGCACATCCTCATGGGCAAAAAAACCAGTATTTTTAAGCAACTGAAATAAAGCCAAGGTGGACGGACCATAGGCAAGTGAGAGGCTAGAGACTCCATAGGAGGGTGGGTAAATAGGCAGGACCCTTTGAACCACCACAGAGATGAATGGTATTCTCATAGGAAGGGGAGGCTGCTGGGAACTCTTCAACAGAGAATAACTTGATTCGAGATGCTGTGTTTACAATATAGATGCTGCTGTGTTTACAATATAGATAAATGGACTGGAGAGACAAGGAGAAGACCAGATGGAAGCCACTGGCTTCTCATGAGAAGGAATGACACCAGCATACAAAAGAATTGTGGGAAGGTCCTGACAACCACGAAGGAAAACAGACTCCACACAACTTAGTAGGAGTGTGACCGGAAGGTGAGATGGATTGGGAAAAGAAAAGTGCTGAATATGACACTGGGATTCTCTGTTTCCAGCACCTGAAGGGCCAGGGGCATGATTTACTAAGATGCAGAGAGCTAAAGAAGGGGCAGAGCAGGAGTGGGACAGAATGTCTTGTTAGGATGGATATGTTAAAGTTTACCAATGAGGTCAGGGTTTAGAGAGGGAAACTGAACCACTGACATATTCACAAGTACTATTTGAAGCAGTGGGACTGGTTGAGAGATGACTCCACAATAGGTAATCCTTTACTAACTGGTACAGACTAGTCTGAGGGTCTACTGCTTCTGAAACTCAAACACAGGGAATAAGGCAGACCGTTCTCCAGTTTCATGGCTTTGTGCTTCAGAGAGCTCTTTTCTCTACAAATTTCCTCTCCTCATCTCCCACATCCAGTTTTAGAACCAACAGAGTTAATTAATAAGACAAACTTACAAAAGGAAAATGTTAAGAATATAATTTCATCAAAAATACAAACAAAACAAAACCATGAAAAGCTAACGAGAAAGGTAAATGAATTCATTAACTCTTAGCCATCTCTTTTCTGCTCTTCCTTCATCTTTTTCTCAACAGGTCACTATCATTCTAACTTGGTTCAGTGTATGTGTTATCTGTGTGTTCATGTATGTGTGTGTGTGTGTGCATATATATGTGTGTGCATTTATACAACGTGTATATATAAATGCGCATGTGTTTTTAATATATACCCAAAGTGTTCTGAATGTGTGTGATGTGAGCATCTAGAAGACAGAAAACCTGGCATAATCCATTAGCCAGAGGGTATGCAATAAATACTACAACCTGCCAGTGTCATCAGAAGCTACACAATCACACCAGATATAAAGATCCCTGGCCCTCCTCTTCCCCATGCATTCCTTTCAAGTTTTGAAGGCAACCTTTATTTTGTGAACTCTAACCCTATAGTTTTCAGTCTATGCCAGTTAGGACTCTCAGTCAAAGTAATTAATCTGTTATTTTATTAGCGTAAGTGCCAATGTTTTGATAAGAACAGTATTCTCCTTTGGATGTGCTAATGCACTGTACAACTCCTTGGTAAAGGTATATTGGGCTGGAGGGATGGCTTAGCTATTAAAGTCTCAGGCTCACGGCCTAAACATAAAAGATAGTGGTTAAGAGCACTGATTGCTCTTGCAGAGGACCCGGGTTCGATTCCCAGCACTCACATGGTGGCTACGAACCGTCCTTAACTCCAGTTCCAGGGGAATCCAAAGCCCTCTTCTGACCTCCACAGCATTGCAAGACATGGGTGCATTCACATACATGCAGGCAATACACTCATACACATAAAATAAAAATAATAAAATATTAAAAAAGATAAGAACTTTACATAATCTATTACTTGTGCCAAGATTTCTGCTGACTTATGCAGACAAAGGCACAACAGTTACAAATGTGTTAGCAATTCATTGTCATAACTCTATACATTCTAGAATGTGATTGGTATACCAATGTTATTTAATGTAGTTTCAAAATGGAAGTATGTGGCAAGAAAACAAAACATAGTAGACTCCTTTGTGTATGTGTAGTGCTATGTGTGACTGCATGTTTTATATGTATGCATGTGCCAGAAACTGAAATCAGGTGTCTTCCCCTATGGCTGGTGAGAGTTCCGTGGATCCTCCTGTTTCTACCCAGTCCAGATAGGGGGTTACAGTCACACAACTACACCTGGATATTTGCATGGGTGCTGAAGATTGACCTCAGGTAATCACTCTTGATCTCACTTTTCACTTTATCAACTAAACCATCTCTCTAGTCCCTAAAATTCTAGTCTTAAATCCTGGACAGAAGAATCCTACTTTAGTTGTTTCTATGGTTGAGTCTCAACCCAGAGAATAAAAAGAAACTGCTAAACAGCATCAACGCATGATTCCTCTCTGGCATACATGGCAGAGATAGCAGCTCTGACCTGCTTTCTGACAAAAGTTATGTATATTTTTTATCTTCATTTACTAAGAAGATAATATATTTAAAAAGCATCTTTAAATTGATTTGCTTTTATTTTATATGTATGAATGTTTTGCCTACATGTATGGAGGTACACCACGTGTGTGCAATGTCCACAGAGGCCAGAAGAAGGTGGTGTTGGAACCCCTGGAACTGGAATTAAGGCTAGTTGTTAGCTGCCAAGTGGGTGTTGGGAACTTAACCAGGGTTCTCTGCAAGAGTAGTCAGTGCTGTTAACCACTAAGCCATCTCTGCAGCCCCAAGTGGGTTTTTGCTGTTATTGTTTTTGTTATTTTGTTGCTTTTCTGAAGACAGGGTCTCACTATGTAGCTTTGGCTGGCTTGAAACTCATTGAGATCCACCTGCCTCTGCCTCTCGAGTGCTGGGATTAAAGGCAGCCCTACATTTCTTTTTGAGAATAAAAGGGTACTAAGACCATGCCACTGAAAGTAAAATTTATTGGCTAGATGCTCATGTGATCTCAAATTCAACTTAGAAACACAACAAAATCACAAGACTCAAAGTTACCATTGCTGTTTCTCTTCTAATTCCATATAACAGAAAGGCTTTGTTATTGGTATTTTACGTTAGTTTTTAGTTAACCTTCTATTAGATTCGTTTTTAGTCTTTTCCAACAATAGTTGTTACCTTCCATGCAGATGCAATACAATGAGATGAGAGAAACATGACCCGTTTGGAAACAGTAGGACAGGAACAGCCACACCAATGGATACAAAGAGAAATTATTAGGTGCATGCTGTGCTTTAGTTGTGAGAGTCAGAGAACAGTGTTGACATTCTCATTAGAAAGCACACAAGGAACTCAGAGCACAGGACAGTGAATGTGTGAGATCACTGCACGTTTGTAGAACACAAGCCAAGCTGAAAGCAAGTGACAGAAGACACATGGAGAAAGGATGCTGTTTTGCAAGAAAATTTCCAAAAGCCAAAGGGTAGCGCAAAAGAAATACCTTAAGATCTCGTCTTTCCAGATGCAAAAGTTCAGCCCCTCTGATGTCATGGCGGATGAAGATTTCTTTGTACTCTCCCAAATTGAGCAGATCCAGCCAAGCAGCAACTTCCTCTGTGCCCCATTTCTGAACTACCAAAGTTAAGAGCAAAACCCCCTTAATTTCTACATGCTCAATGCATTACAAAGCAAAGGTTGGCCAGAGAAGATGCAAAACAGAGAGCAGCAGCAGTGCCAGCAAAGGGAAGGTCAAACATGGGGTTCCAACAAAACTGCAGCTCCCCTTTCCCATGCGAGTTACAGACTGCCAATGGACACGGATCTGACTACACAAAGATATGTGCCACTGTGCTCCCATGCCTTTAGCTTTTGTCCAGTCTTTCACTAAAGCTACCAAACTACACAATATACATTAGAACAATTTGGCATCATTAGGATTAGTGATGTCAAAATCATAATAAGCACTGATGTCCTTCCTTAAGACCATATATGAAAATGTTTATAGTTAGAAATGAACAACAAATGCTAATTAAGTTTTATTTTATTGTTGTTGGGTTTTTGTTGTTTTTGTTTTTAAAGACAGGATATCACTGTGTAGCTCTGCCTGGCCTGGAACTCGCTCTGTAGACCAGGCTGGCCTTGTACTCACAGAGATCTGCCTGCCTCTGCCACCTGAGTACTGGGATTAAAGGTGTGCACCGCCAAGCCAGGTTCTGCTAATTAAAATTCCAAGTCTGATATGGGTTACTTGGTTGGTTTTGCACACTTTTCTGATGAAGGTCTTGCTGACTTCAAGTATTATCTTTGTTAACTCTATGCTATTGATAATTCTAGCAATAAACGGTCATTTAAAAGCTGTTGGGATTGCTCTCTAAGGTTATTTGGATTATACTACTTTTCATTTTGTGTAATTCTCTTACGTTTTAGTCAACATCAGTTAGCTTAATAAAAAGCCTACTTAATTTGGCTGTTTCATTTTTACATACCCTTCAATGGATGTGGTTATCACAAGGTTTTATATTACTTTTTAAAGACTGTGAGCTCACTCAGAAGAATTGATAAAATTATTGTAAGAATTTATAAAATGATTTCATTATGAAAGGCAGGCATGATATACCCAGAACTCCCAAAGTATTCCAGCACTAGTCCATCAGTGAATTCAATCTCTAAGGGAAGGTGAAAAGAGAACTAGGAAACAGCAGCGTAAAGAAGGTTTAATCTTTGCTCGAGAATGCGAGAGTCAGGGTGCACGGCCACTGACAAAGGGTGAATGGTATCCTTAGGACAGGAGAAAGAGGACACACAACCATATGAAAAATATATTTAGCAAGCTGAATAAATGCAAATTTCTCTGTTCCCCTTATCAAAGTGATCTTTATTCTGAACTCTGAGAAGAAAATCAGGTTATACACTGATGTGTGAAGTTGCAGTTGAGACAATAACGACTCAGTTGAACAAACACACTGACCTCAACTGCACAAAGCAAAAGCAGCTTAGCATCCACCTCATTTTCTTCTGGGATTTGCAATTATAGATTCTTTCAATAATCGACATAATCTAGGTATGACATGACTTTTATGGTTAAACCCAACTCAGTGATATTTAGTACATTTATAACGCTGGGCAATGTTCACCACTACCTAGCTCTAGCACATTTTCATTCCCCCACTGATATATTTTCCGCATTTTTTTCCTAGCATGTGGACTACCTACCAGGCTGTGCACTTGTCTTTTGCTTCTGAGCTTTTTCCTTTTTAAACTTTGGCACTATGCGAAATACTGTGCTTTTGCTGTTTCTTTTGGTACAGTCCACAGGAGGTTCCTGCTCAAATCAAGCAAAAAAAGAAAAAAAATTATTTTAGGATATTAAGAGACAAAAACCTGCCCTATGAACAGGAATAAAATAAGAATGGATTTTCAAAATACTTGTGTTCACAAAAAGGCCTTTTCTCCTTTAACAACAAAACATTTCAAAATAGTATTCGAAATTCATTTTTCCTGAAATGTCTGTTTCAGTAAATTCAAACTCTAAAGTCATCATGTCCACACTCACTAACAGACAGGATTTTACATACCTCATCCTCATTGGGGTGCAGGATATAATACAGCCAGGGGATCTCAGTTAATTTCTGCAGCTCCACTTCCACAGAGTGTAAGGCACTGGATACCCGCTCCTCATGGGGAGACTCCAACTGCTACTCACCAGCAGGCAGGAAAATAAAACAAATCTAGACTCAGTCACCAACTTCAAGAGAACTATTTTATTTTGGTGGTGAACATCAGCTCTTAGAATACACTAGTTGTTTTTGTTCTAATTCCTACTCCCAAAGTTCAGTACATAACTAGTCTGACTGAAAAAGTTCACAGAAAAAGTACTGATTTTGGAGTTTCTTTTGTTATACCCTTCCCTCCTGCAATCTCTCTCCTTGCCCTTCATTGCTTCCAAACACGGATCTACACATTCTTCATGACTGCAGTAGTCAAGTACCTTATTTGTGCCAAAATTCTTCTTATTTATATCATTGTTCCATGAACAAATAACATTTTTAAATGTGGATCAAACACTTGTCATATAAAAAGAACTTCACAAAAATCTCCTAGAAAGTCAAAATAATAAGTTTAAGGGGAAAAAAATGAATCTTGGAAGAATTTGTGATGAATAACTGTCATAAAAAAAAATCAGGCTAGGGGCTGGAGAGATGGTTCGGCAGTTAAGAACACTGGCTGCACTTGTAGAGGACCCAGGTTCAGTTCCCAGCACCTATATGGCAGCTAACAACCATCCTTAACTTCAGTTCCATGGGATCTAACACCCTCTTCTGGCCTCCAGAGGCATTGCATAACATGGGTGCACTACATACGTACAGGCAAAGCATTCATAGACATGAAATAAATTAAAAAAAAATTTTTTTAAACAGTGTAAAACCAAACACTAAGTGGTTAATAATCTGGAATAGAATTTGGATATTTTCTACTTAACTGCCATTTGTTATTTACAGTAACTTATTTAAGGCAGTTATTAAGACACACAGAATTGGAAAGCAGTTAATGGGATTCTAGTCCTGGCCTAGTTACTAACAATGCAACAAAAGAATGGGTAACTGGTTTCAGGAGCATTAGCTTCCTCTCCCAGAAATAGCAAACATTGACTACAGCATTTCTAAGTTTTTTCTTAGTTCCAATACTTTTATAGACTATTTTAAAACTATAGAGCACCTACATTGATGTTTATGGAATTTTGGAACTGAAAGTTCTGAGACTATTGTTATTGTTCATTATGAGAATCTTTTGGTTCCCACCCTATTGTACCTATTTGCTACTTTCCTTTTAGTTTAAGAATGTATGGCTGACAAAGTTGATAAAATAGTATTTCATAATTGTTCTAGAAGTAAAATGAAAAGCAAACTTTTAGTTGCCTTCAGATATAATAAATTCTTTATTATGATAACATTACTGTTAAAAAGTTTGGGTAAAAGTCACTGGAATGCATTTCAAGCCACACAAGCCTATTTGACAATGACAGAGAATTAAAAATAGAGGTCTTGGAGAGTCCTTTCATTTTTAACAATTGCTAAATAATAATAAGTCAGAACAAAGGAGGTACTTTTGGTATAAAGGACAAAGTTATGCTTTAAGTTCTTATCATAAGTGACCTTAGATGCATTTCAAATAGAAATTCAAACTTCAGTCACAACCCACAGGATTTCTGATAGGTTTATTTTTGAAAAGCAGTGGAAGATTCTGGACAACAAAAGTAGTGTCAACAATAGCCAAGAAGGGGCCTCCACTGATCTTACCCACATATAACCAATGTTTCTTCCCAAAAACTTTTCTACACAGCTTGTCTGTACAGACAAGCACCCTATGGCCCCAGGGAGCTGTATTTCAGTTTCCTGAGGAGGTAGGTAAGAGCACTGGCCCTCACATAGCCTTTGGGCTGTGAAGAATCAAAAGGAGCTCCAATGACAGACAGCACACTTCTGGACCACAGTCACAATCCACAGAGATTCCCATCCACTCACCAGTACTTCCATAACGGTGACGTTGATGAGTTTTATAATATTACGTAGGTATATAGTTGTCCAAGCAGAGATTAAGTTACTATAAAAATAAATGCTTTGTGATCACTACCTATCAATTAATTAAAGCTAATATAAGGAAGGGAAAGTCAGCTGATGAACTAGGCTTTCCACAGTGACAACAGCATGCGTAACTATGCCACAATTGAACTCTAGGTGGCAACAAGATTCTATGGTCAGGTTTTTTTTTTTTCCATCTAAAAAAATATTTTTATTTATTATTGTTTTTAATATTACTTTTTACATTTTTTAAATTGATGTTTTGTGTATTTCAGACAGACAATCTCAATCTTAATAATTTTTAAAAAATATTTATTATTTATTATTTTTATTTTATGTGTACGCATGTATTGCCTGAATGTAGTAGGTAAGTGCACCCGTGTTGTGCAATGCCCACAGAGGACAGAAGAGGCTGTCGGATTCCCTGGAACTGGAGTTACAGACAGTTGTTAGCTGCCATGTGGGTGCTAGGATTCGAATCCAGCCAGTGTTCTTAACTGCTGAGCCATCTCTCCAGCCCCCAATCTTAATCATTTTTATACGCACTTCTCCACTGGCACACTCCCATAGTTACACCCCTGCACCCACCCCCCACCCCTGGAATTCATACATTCTGTCAGATATTTTTAAAGAAAGGGCTGGTGTGTAATTTATACTTGAGGCCTTGTGGACTATGATTAGATGCAGACTTGCTTGCACTTGATTTCCAGGACGAAATCAAGTTAAACAAGGGTAGTTCTTGAAATACGTATTTACGAAGTGCTGTCTTGTTTATGCTATTCATATCTCAAACGTTAATTCAGAGAACAAAACCGTGATTTCTTCTAGCTTGACACAGATGTGAGAAGCTGAGGAATGTCTACTACACGTTATAGATCGCCAGTCTCTTGAAGCTGACTAGGGAGAGGATAGCATGGAATGTGCCAGCTTCTACTAGGGGGAGTCTCTACCCCTGAATTACAGCTTTAAAGTATGGCCTTGTTTTCTTTAAGGCAAAAAAAGCTCGCCAAAATGAAGGTCCAAAAATGGAGGCCAGAGGTCTACTCAAGTCATGTTTCCTAATGAAGGTGAGACATAGATGTTCATGTCATCATTTATGCTATCAATCATTTCTTTTTCTTACCAAAGGAACCCTGCCAACTAGCAAAGACTCTGTTTCATTATACAGTGCCTTCACGTTGATGGCTATTTCAGTGGCAGATTCTCTTGTAAGACTCTAGAAAAAAAGAACAAAGATATATTTCTGTATTAAATTAGGATTCCATCATCAACAAATTCTGTAAATTTTATTCTCACACCTACATCATAAGAAAACTTAAACATCTACCAAAATTCTATAATAAATTAAGTTTTGTACTTATGCTTGTTAGTATGATTATCTATACATAAAATATGTGCACAAATTAAATGTTATCAAATGTGGGGCTGGGAAGGTAGACCTTGTGGTTAAAATGCTTGTTGCACAAATACAGGGACTGGAGTTCGGATCTTCAGCACTCACATAAAAGTCAGGTATGGCAACATGGATCAGTAACCCCAATGCTGGCAGACTGAGACAAGGCAGAGCCTTGATTCTCACTGGCCAGCCAGCAAGACTGAAATGGTGGCTCCAGGTTCAGAGACAGATCTTGTCTCAAAAATAGGGTGAAAATTTACACCAGAGAAATCTCCTTATGGTAATTAACACAGAGACTCACAACTAGCCAATGTGTACAGAACAAGAGGCTACAGAGCACTTATCCCTGAATAGGGAACCTATTTCAAACCTCTGCATCCCAAGGTTCAGGGATCATTGTGGAAGAGGAGGGGAAAGAATGTAAGAGCCAGAGGGGGTAGATGACCATAAGGAAACAGTCTTCCAGACAGCTAGTTATTTACTCATTACTCACAGCAATGGTGACAGCATGCACAAGTCCTACACAAGCTCAAACCAGACAAAAGCCCAGCATAGCCATGGAGAAGTGGTTAAGAAATCCCAGCCCAACCTAAGGAACTTCTGGCAATTGATGGCTGCTGGGAGAGGGAAAGATGTGTTTTACAGGGTTGGAACTGTTGGTGGGTCCAGTGGATAGATCCACATTGAAGGACATTGGGGGACACAAATAATACTCTATATGTATGTGTGAGAGTTCATTAAATTGGACAGGGGTGGGGGGAAGGTGAGGAGAGGGGAACAGATCTAAATGCCATAAAGCTATATTGTATGAAAATCCGAAAAATCCAATAAAAAAATGTTAAACAAAAAATTCCAGAAAAAAAATAAGGTGGAGAAATGGAGGAAAACATTGCAACATCAACCTCTGGCCTCCACAAGTGTCCTCATGGGTGAGTGCATATGCATACATGCATACCACACACACACACACACACACACACACACACACACACACACACGCACACACTCAAAATGTACTCATGTGGGACTGGGGAGATGGCCAGTAGTTAGAAGTGTACTCACTACTCTTAAAGAGGGCCTGACTTCAGTTCCCAACATGGATGTTGGGTGGCCCATAACTCCAATTCCAGGGGCTGACACCCTCTCCTGGCCTCCTTGGGAACCTGCACTCATGTGTATGTACATACACTTCCATAGACACACATACACGCACATAATTAAAAATAAATCTTTTTTAAAAACTGCGCTCATGGGTCTGGAGAGATGGTTCAGTGGTTAAGAGCACTGGCTGGCTGTTCTTCCAGAGGAACAGCTGACCTTCCTAAAACAAAGACCTCTAGATAGGCTGACTAGATTCACCAGATGGACAAGTAGTGGGGAATGGCTGGGGGTGCTGACAACACAGCAGACAGTAGCAGGGATATCAGAGTATAAGGGCTCTAGTCGGGGGAGGGAGGCTATGGGAGGGTGCCATCTGGGAAGTGGGTGTATAGTTGAATAAGATGGTTTGGGAAGTTCTGTGTGATATACAGACACACACACACACACAAAAATCAACAAATTTAAAAAAACGTATTATATTTGAGGAGCAAGCATGGAAATTTACGTCATGTTAAACAGTAGAGGTGATAAACATTACTACTGAAATCTACCTGATGACTTTATAGACATACACAGGCACCAAGGATCCAAGTGCAACCGATTATGACTAGTAATAATCAGATACATATAGATTAGTGATGCATGCGCCAACATCTCAGTGTTAGTAGCAAAAACAATGAGTGTTTCTGCAAGGAACAATATATTCTAAAATGAAATGGAGAGCTTTTTTAAAGGTTAAAATTCATTCAAGCCAGGCGTGGTGGTGCACACCTTTAATCCCAGCACTTGGGAGGCAGAGGCAGACTGATCTCTGTGAGTTTGAGGCCAGCCTGGTCTCCATGGTGAATCCAGGACAGAAAGAAAGACACTGTCTAAAAAAAAGAAAAAAAAAAAAAAAAAACAACAAAAAAAAAAACTCACTAATTTTATGTCTTACAGGACTTATACTGATTGTATAACTGATTGTATAATAAATATTGTATAACTTTATTAATTCAACTATGAACCTAGAAACTTATAGCCACTTGTGAAAGAGATGTACTCTTGCTCTGGAGTGTGTTACTGAATAAGTTAAAGCTATAATGAAATGCTTCTTCTAATCATGTAGTTATTAAAAATTAAAAAATGATAAAAAAAGAAAAAAAATAGCACAACCAAACAAAAAACAAAACCCAAAAGCCCTCAGTCTGACGATTCCTAGGCTTGCCCTTTTTTTAAGGTGCAGGGAAAAGGCAGAAGAAGAAAGAGGAATAGGAAAGTTGCTTTAAAAAGTAAGAGCAGAAAGACCTGGGCCTGTGAGATGGCTTCGCACGTAAGGCCACCTGCCACCCAGCCTGATGACTGGAGTTCGATCCCCAGAACTCTCAGAGTGAAAGGAGAAAACCTTACTGGTCAAGCAGGCAACACCAGTAGGTAAGCTTTTGGGGAGTCAAAGGTTACACACATATTTTCTACTGTCAGAGGGCTTGGCACCTTCAAAACGCTTCCATGTTGGTCAAGGGTCGACTGTAGTGATTTCTATCTATTAATTTTCACTCTCAGTAGTTCCAACTCCTGAAGGTTGACATCTGACTTCCACATGTCTCTGTAGCTTGCACCCATCCCCCAAATAAACAAATAAATAAATAAATAAATAAATAATAGTAAAAAGACTTCAAGGTGGCGAGTGACTAAAAGTGAAATAGAAGAAACATGAAGAGAGTTTAAGAGCAGGAATAAAAACACAGCAGGAAGGGCTAGAGTGATGGCTCACTGGTTAAGAACATTTTGCTGTTCTTCCAGAGGACCCAGGTTCAAGTCTCAGCACTCACACAGTGGCTAACAACTGTCTATAATTCCAGTTCCAGAGGATCCAACATCCTCTTCTGGTCTCTGTAGACTTTGAATGCACGTGGTGCTTTTACATACATGCAGGCAAAACACTCATACACATAAAATAAAAGTTTTTAAAAAAGTATGGCAGGAGAAGGGAAACCAAAATTCAGACGCAAGTTTACCAGAGGCTTATCGTAGACACTCATAAACACTACCCAGCTGTCTTTCATAGGGAGGGTCATGGTCCACAAATGTTATAGTAAGTGGAGAATCAAAAGAATCTGTGGAATGAGAATTTACCATTAGATCCTCACCTCCGGGCACCGTGGGTTGGCTTTGTTCAAGGCATGCGAGCAAGCATTCACTGCATGAGCCAGTTCCTGCTCCAGAAGACAATGAATTGTGGCTGCATCACAAATCCTAAAAGCAAAAATGGCAAACAAAAGCATTTGAGGGATACTGCTGATTTTTTTGAGTGCATAACTGAAAGGATAAAATGAATAAGAAAACTATAAAGCTGTGGCTCAAATTGTGGGTGGCATGCTGGGCAGATTTACAAAGCTTAAACCTCATTGTAATAAGAACACTAAATAAAAAACTTCCTATGGAAAGTTAAACTTAAGCTTGCCATGTCAGGATACACTTGGCACACAATTCCAGCACTCAGGAGGTAGATGCAGGAGGATCACGAGTTCAAGGCCAGTCTGAGCTACAGAGAGCTGTCTCAAAAAGAAAAAAGGAAAACATTTATAAACAGAGACCATCAGTTTAAAGCAATAGTAACAAAATGTGAATATAGTTTCTTAGCTATTTAAGTCTCACCAAACCAAAGTTTCTGGACCGAAGTCTAAAAAAACTAGTGGAATAATAAAATGAGTCTGTGCTCTAAACTGGGTGATGCAGTCAGCACGTAAGATAGTTACCCATCAATGAGATCAAGGAGTTTAAGGAACATTATTTAAAATAAAAGACAGAGCGTGGACAGCTAGGTCTCTCTCAAATGGTTAGGATGGCACAGGTGGGTACGGCCAGGGCAGAACCTTAGGAATCACGGCTAATGCTGAGGCAAAGCTTTGTTCTAGGCATGATATCCCTAGACGTGCACACCAAGTACGCTCTCATATGTTCACTCACCATTTTGTTTTCATTTTCTCTGAGGCTGGGAAGTTCCATTTTTTTGTTTTTTCTCTTTGTCCTAATGCTGCCTTCTTCCTCTCCTCATAAAAATCTCTCAGTGAATTCTATTAAAATTGACTACAGAGAGGTGAGTGCTCAAATTAAAACTGTTACCTTACCTCAGATATTTCTCAGGGTGGGTGACTCATGTAAATCTAATGTTGGCGAGTCAAAGCCCATCAGAATTGTTAGTGTTTACACATACTTTTTTGCAGGGGTTGCTGGCCCATCAAGACAGGGTCTGTTCTTGGTAGAGGTTTAGAGTAAATGTAAAGATGTTGGGATTCTCAGATTATAATATATTAGAGTCTGCCAAAGTTAAAAACTCTAATTATTGTATCATCATAAATGCAAAAGTATGTATAAAAACAAAGCCAAAAACTGTGGTTCAAAGAAACAAACGATGCAACATTATTTAGTCGAAAAGTAATAATTCTGCAAACCTTATTTCAAATTTCAAAGAAAGAGTGAGTGAAGAGGGATGCAAAGAAGGTTATGAGGGACCTGGAGAAATAGCTCAGTGGTTAAGAGCACTGGCTGCTCTTGTAGAGGACCTGGGTTCAGCTCCCAGCACCCACATGGCAGCTAACAACCTTCCACAGGCACTGAGTATATGAGTGCACTTACAAACATGCAGGCAAGACACTCATATACAAAAAATAAATTCAAAAAATAAAAAGGTTATGAGTACAGGGATATCTTTTTTGAGGGACAAAAGAGAAAAAGAACATTCATGAATAAGAGGATTTGATAAATGAGATTTTTTTTTGTCCCATGACTGCAAGGATGGCAAAAAGAAAGAAGAGAGGCAGGTCTATAATCCCAGATTACACCCAGATGCATGCCTGTATTCCCAGCAGAGGAGGCAGAAGTGGGTGGATCTTTGTAAGATCACGGCCACCCTAGTCTGCACGGTGAGTCCAGGCCATTGGGGCTACGGGGAGACCCAGTACAAAGAAAAAAAGAAAAGAGACACAAAGGAAAGGGGCTGTTTGCTCGCTACTGCAAACACTGAGGGAAACAAAAGTTGCTGGAGACCAGTGTTTGCAGAGCTTCTTGCCTAAGTCTGATAGCCAGGTAGAGCAACGGACTCTCAGTCAGCAGGCTGGCGACAGTATCATTGAAAAATTAGGAGGGTCACAGATAATAGTGTGGTCTTTAATTCACCAACACATTTATTGATTGTTGTGCTGGGGATTGAACCCAGGGCCTTGCACATACTAGGCAGGTGTTCTATCACTCAGTTGTATACTGGTTCAGAAAATTATCTTTCATTTTTTGAAACTTCAAATACAACACATTAGGGCACGAGTATTACCACATGTATCATCAACATTTTAAGTGTTTTATACACATTATATAATTCAATATTCACAACCCATGATATAATAAATTTTCTGTTTATAGATGAAGGCACTGAGGCTGAGAGAGGTTGAATGTATGTAAAGAGCCAGTAACTGGTGGGGCCAAAATTAGTTATCCCCACTTGTAGCTAAGATTTAAGTATGGTGGGGTCAAGAAATGTGTCATGGCCTCTCTTCCTCTCTGTTGTAGTGATTTTTATCTTGTTTACATTCATCAAACTTGTTAAAAAAAAAAAACAAACAAACCCTAAAATCCTCTTCCCTTTCTGACTAGAAAATTAAGCTACGTGTGGTCTGTAAATCTTTGGTATGTATTTGCCAGAAGCTGGTTCTAGGATCTGTTTATTTTGCCTTCTGACCCTCCTGGAGAACATGGTTTATGTTCAGGCATCTTTCTAATTTCATAAATATTTAATTAATAATTCCAAGGCAATATGTGAGTGAATAGTACAGCAGTAAGACTAATGGAAAGAGTGCTGTGTGGCACAGTAAATCCATCACAGGTTCCAAGCAGTGTAAGCCTTGAACCGAGAGCGCACTTGTGTGGAAGACCTGATAAAGGGGAAGAGCAACCACTGGGACCCGCAGGAGGCAGCAGATGAAACCAGGAAATGCATCCCTTATTAATACTACAAACAGCAGAAAGGAAAAAGCAGCTAAGCCCAGCGTCCTCACAGCCGACACTCGAGCAGAGCCATACCTAGTAATGAGCTCCTCTGCAGCCTGGGAGCAGAGCTGCATCTGCGACACCTCTTCTGTTGCCAGGTCAGCAGTGTGTTGGATGTACAGGTGTGTTCGAAGGACTGCTTTACCAGAGTCACACTTCTGCTTATCCTCCCAGGATTTCAGGGTGTTTTCAAAGGCCTTTTAAAAACCAGGATTGCAAGGAAAGTTTCGGTTAGAGCCCCGAGACTTCACTGAATGTATATGTAGAGAGTTTGACATGGACTGCTTTTTCTGTAATCTAAACCTCATTAAATAATTGAAAGATATTTGCAAGTTTTCCAATATATCACATCGAATAGTGTGATCAATGAAGATGAATACGTCAATAAGAGAAGGTATGCTTCCAACTTTATTGCTTCAATTAATGCTGCAATCATGATTTTGTCGCACTTTACTATTTGTCTTTACAGTTTTGCTAGATGGTATGGATACTGTCAGTCCTATTTGCTAAGGGTTGACCTTAGCTGAAAATACTTATTTTGGAAAAGAGCAAACTACGGAGACAGAAACATCAAAGATTGTCAGAGCTAAGGGTAAGGAAGAGAGAGGGGATAAGTGGAACACAGGGTATTTTTAGGGCAGTTGAAGGTATTCTGTGTGCTAGGGCAATGGTGGATACAAGTGATTATAGATTTGCCAAAACCCACAGGCAAACAACAGGAAAAGAAAGGCAGACTAGGACTTTAGTTAATAATAAATTAGTATCAGATCACCAATTGTATAAATTGTGCTACACTAACACAAAATGTCAAAAAGGAGAAATGATCTGTGCAGAGGTAGAAGGAAGGAGACACACAGGAACAGAATTAGAGACATACATAGGTACATTCTGCTCAATTTCTTTGTAAACCTAGAAAGCATTCTAAACAATGAAGTATTTAGTTTGAAATAAACTGAATAAACATTTGTTCATATTTAAAATGACAATAAGCTAAATGGCAGATTTAGGAGATAAATTCTTTTTCTTTTATTTTTCATAATAATTTCCAACTTAAAAATATTTTGATAATATTCTAAAAGAATATTTTGGGGGCAGGAGAAATGGAATGAGTGAATATGAGTGCATTCTGCTCTTGTAAAGGACCCAGAACCCATGTTGGGTGGCGACCACCTACACCTCCAGGTCCAGGAGAACTGACAAGCTCTTCTGGCTCTGCAGGCACTACACTAATGTGCACAAACCCATACACAGACACAACACACATGTACATATAATTAAAAAAATTTAAATACACATTTTTGTTACATACTCTGTCCCTTGTTAGCATCTGAGCTCTGTTTTTGTGCACGATTTTGATGATCCCTGGAGGCTGAACCCATGCTTCACCATCCACCTGCACCGGGACTCCCTCATCGCCAAATATAGTGATTTTTACTGTACGGCACTGAAATAAAGCCAATATGTTATTTGAGACTACAGATCATCGTGAGAATGGATACAAGCTTCATGCATCCATGCTGGTTTTTAAATTGTGCTTTATGGTTGCAAGGTCACAACAACTGACTTGACAAGAAAGCTAGCATTTTACAGAAGCTTATCAGTTGTAGCACCATCTGCAATAGCTTCCTTCTGTATTCCATGACCCAAGAGGTGTGGTCAGCTTTGATAAGAGAAACCAACCTGAGCTATTCGATGATGCTGCAGTTTAATGACCCTAGACACTGCCATTTGCACACTGTCAAACACTGCAACCACTTCCAGAATCTTGTCATCAAAGGATGGTGCGGCAAATATCTGAAAGGAAAGGCTGTATTACACTTCCACTGAAGGGTTAGGTAAAGTGGCACATCAAGCCACAAAAACTCACAAGAATGATGTATTTAAAAACATAAAAATAGAAAGCAAAAAACTATCAGAAAATGATGTCAAGAAAAGAAAAATCACCGAAATAGCTTAAAATTAAAAAACACAATGTTAAAAAAGGTTTGAACATCTACATGAATATGATACTCAGGCCTCTCATAAAGCACTCACTGGACCAACATTTCACCTTGAGATCAATGTGCTAAATATCTGTCATATAATTGAGATGTCCTAATAAGATGATATATATAATTTTGGAAATCTACAAACACCCAAAAGCTGATAAGTTTTCTTAAAGTTAAAGCTAATGAACATGCAAGTTATGACCCCTGTTCACTTGGTATGTTTTAAGGGAGCTCTTTCAAGGTATTCCAAGCAGCATGCCTTTGTGCCTTTTAAAAAAAGATTTATTTTTATTTTTTAATTATGTGTCTGAGTGTGTGTCTGCAGGTGGTTATGAGAGCAGGTATCCACAGAGGTTAGAAGAGGATGTTGGATCCCTGGGGTTGGAGTCACAGGTAGCTGTGAGCTGCCAGATGTGGATGCTAGGTATCTAACTCAGGTCCTCTTCCAGAGCATTATACTCACTTTATCACTGAGTCATCTCTCCAACTTTGTGTTATTATATCTTAATATAATAACTTTGTTAGGGCATTTTGCAAGTAAATAGAAACCTCAGGACAAAAATATCATAGACTTACTGAGCCTTTATGTTAAATACATGTTGATACAATTAATTTACTTCAATTACTGAAATTCAGGCTGTATCACTTTGTTCTTGTTTCTGTCTTATTTACTGCATCATGAATAATTATGATTGGAAAACTAAAAGAATATCCTAATCAAAACTTCACTGGAAATATCAGGATACAAATTTACTAACACTGATGATTTCTTGTTAAGTTCTGTTATCAGTCTGCCTGGATTTAAATCCCATTCCTGTTATTTACTAACGGTAGAAATTTCTCCATTTTTTCAACAGTAAAATTACAAAGTATAAGCTTAGAGAGATGGCTCAGTGATTAAGAGCACTGGCTGCTCTTGCAGAGGACCTGAGTTCAGGTCCCAGCACACACATGGAAGGCTAACAACTGTCCATAACTCCAGTTCCAGGGGATATGATGCCCTCTTCTGGCCTCCATGGGTATTGTATTCATGGATACACTTATACACATATAGGCAAAACTCATATATTTAAAAAAAAAAAAAAAGAGTATAGGGGCTGAAGAGATGGCTCAGCAGTTAAGAACACTGACTGTTCTTGC